CAGAGTGACACCGCACAAATTTACTGTCAAACACTATGAACAGGGATAGGAACACATTACCATGGACAGGGCAGATCAAACGCAATCCCATGCTCGATGAAAAGCAAACCTGCGAACACCTGACACTTTTTGTAGCTGACCGTTTAGTTTTGGGATTACAAAAAAGAAAAAAATACACGTGACTGCTTTGAATTCGAAACCACGCAGGGACACCGGCTACGCTTTTGTACAGCACTCGCTCAAACAGCTGAACTACAAGGTCACACCAACAGCACTGATCTTTTCACATTCTAATTACCCATTCAACATATTTTAAATTTTTATTACACACCTAAATGTGATGAAAAACAGACGGGATAAACTCCATAACCCCGAGGACCTGCTGCTCATTGATGGAAACCGGAAACCTAAGCCCTGAGACTTGAAGTGGCGAACCACGTAAGTCCCTGACAGGTTAGGCGTGGTATTGAACAGGACGACAGCAGGGCTGCCTACCACCACTAACAGTCGGGGAGGTCAGTTGACATGAAACCTCGTGGATTCCATCTGCCTCTGTAAGTTGGATGGGTGATCCAAATGTGAGAAGATCAATGCTATCAGTGAGACCTTGTAGCTCAAATGGTAGACCGTGTGCTAAACAAAAGCGTAGGCGGCGTCCATGCATGGATTCGAATTCCACCGAGGCTACTGAACTTTTCACAATTCAATCTGACAAACCCGATGAGTCTACTCGATTGATCGAATTAGCAGTTCAGTGTATCTCACAGACACCTGGTATTGTCTGATCAATATATGGTCATCCATATTTGACCTACCAATGTTATGCAATAGCGGTATGGTGATCGATCCTTGAAGAAAGTGGTCAGTTTTAGCGGAACGTTATTATTAAAATTTTATTTGTGCAGTGATAAAAATTTAGACAATCCTGTTAACTCTTAGGGTTAGTTTAGAATTTTGGACAACGGTTAAACTGTTCAGTAGTTTCTCCAATACTTCTGTAGGCATCTTTTAGGAAACGGTCGTACAAACATTTCAAGAGCAACAATCTCAGCTAACTGTCATTCAATTAGTTCGAATCTAAGATTTGTAAAATAAGAGGACGGAATAAATTACTGACGCGGAAGAGAAATCCAGTTGTGTGCAGCGCGAGGCAAGTTAATAAATAAGCGGTGACCACAAAAAAGAAGACAAGGACAATATCACGAGGTTGTGTGAGTCTATGAAATGGAAAACACTTGATTTAAAACTTAACGAGGAGATTCACCGGTGATCATTAACAAACAGTGGGTCGTCATGAGTGTTGAGTTCGATGCCTCCTACCGATTATCAGGCTGAATGAGTAAGGAGAAAAATGGATTAGCTCACTGAAACGATTATGAAACCTCTATTTTTGTGCATTCGAAACGTGATTAGCTTGGCAGTCAGTCGGAGTATGTGCCAAGAGGAGAGATGTGTAATTTTTACTCCGAAAACATGCTTAAAACTGGATTCTCGTCGAAAAGAAACCATTTGAAATTCTTCTTCTTTTTACTTCCTTCCATTTAACAGACAAATTTGTAATCTCCCTCAAGAAAAAGGATAGCCTAAGTCAAAAAGTTGTCTTGGGGGTTCAATAAAATGGGAAAGAAATTTTAACGAAAACCCAATCAGCAGGTGCCACAGGTACCACAATATACGACGAAAGCCCACAAAAGTAGTGCCATTTTCGATGCACGAAATCGAACCGGGGAAGACAAGTGACTTATACAAGAAAAGTCCCATAACTGTGCCCCGAAGAGGTAGCAGTCAACGATTCACAGAGTGCACCGTACGAGAAAGACAAGCTTATATCGAACTCCGTATGGTTAGAGCATATAGATTTTCATGAATAGACAGATTTCATAAACTGCGATTCTTTTAGTGGCAAACTGTTAAGAGCGAGTGAGAGAGAGAGTAAGCTGTTAAAATATCTGGATATTACGATCTCAAGAGCTGCTATCCATACAGACAAAAGTAGTACGCGTGAACTAATATGGATGCATTTGAAAAAGACCCCAAAATCAGGCCACTTCACAAGCACTGATGATGTCACCTCGGCTGGTGATGAAACGTTTGCAAACAAATTGCCAAGCTCGGCGAACAGGCAAAATGGAATTCAGTTCACCCGAGCTACGAAAACCGATTTTCAATATTTTGTCAGTAAAAATTGTTTCGAAAACTACTATTGGGGATTCGAAAAAAATCAACTATGGCAGCGCAAAAACTTCGAATCCTTTGAAAGTGCTTACACGATCCGCTTCCAATTTGTCTAGATCAACTGGACGCTTCGGTTGGCGTAAAGACACCGGTGCAGGATTGATTGGTTCCCCTCGCATCGACTCGTACTGCACCTTCTCGGACACTTCCGATTTGGAATTAACAGTATTGGTTTCATCCGATGCCTTACGTGTCCACACTGGGGTGGTACGTTTGGATGGAGAAGGCTTTACACGGGTGGCCGGGAGAATCGGGGGCTCAAGGTCATCATCCATCATACTTTCCGTCGGTTGTGCTTCAGAGGTTTGTCCTTGATTGAACGGAACCAAATAGAATTTTAGTGAAACGTTAAATGTCGAACAGTTTATATTTAACTGTTTAAAAATTCGAGATTAAGCGAACAAGTAAAAGGGAAAAGAAGACTGAAAGTTGGCCGCTAAATGAAGGCGAAAAAACAGGCCCAAAGTTAACTAGCAATGAAGTACTGTATACCATCACGATGTCCACATGTCGCCATTTCTTACCTAATCACTTTCCCTCCCAAATTCACCGGGCAGCAATGAAAACTTTCTCCTTTTGTAAAGACTATTGTACTATGATTTGGTTGGCACACAGCTTATTTTCAGACTTGTGAGAAATACAAATACATTCCCTCCCATGAGCTGCTATGGGTGCGGCTTAAATTTTGAGATCTTGCAACCAGCTCAAGCTGGTGGTAGGAAACTTCGCTGCAGTTGTGTAGCTTGATGTCCAACACCCTACTGGGATCATACATGGCACAACACTCAGAGTCCCGCAACCGAAAAATAAGCCACCGTGAATACAATGTTTACCCCCTCGATAGCAGAGTAAAAAAAGCTGAATAGTGACGCGAAAGTTTGATCCGCCGTGAAAGAAATACAGGAAAACATAGTGCAAACTAGTGTGAAGTAATTTACCTCTTGTTTTTCACGTACCAAGATGACTATAAACCACCATTTCTAACAAGTTCTCGGGAAGGTAGAACCAAGAACAGGCATGAGTGATAGCCAACCATCACAGAAGTATAAAGATTTGACACGAACTGACTTACCTACAACTTCCGAACTAACACGCCTAATCTTCATTGGGGATTCGCTATCGGTAGGCGCCTGTTTTGGACGATTTTCGCTCGAATTGGCCCGACTTTCCTCGTTGCTCGGAGGTGAATCTTCCTGGTGTGGTGATCTGTTCCGCGAACGAGTATACATTCGTGTGCTTGTCGGTCGAAAACGAGGAACGTACTGGTATCGTTCGTCCATTGTGTGCGTGGATCGGGATCCCATAATCGCGTTACCACTCGCACCACTACCTCGATTACAGACCAGCACAGAGAGTGGGTGATGTTGGGCCAGATGGACTGTGCTCACGGAATTCTCCGTTTGTGACCCATCTGGTTCGGACGAATGCGCATTACTTTCATCCAGACGCGGTTCACTGGCCTCCAAACCGGGTGTATTGTGCAGAATGGCAGCTGCAGCCGCAACAATCGCAGCCTGGACTTCGTGAGTGGGTATCTCATCTCTGGTGGGAGTGCCTGGGCCAGAAGAAGCAGGACTTGCAGGTGATCCAGTTTGCTGGAGTTCAGCAGATGCATTACTGTTGTTCAACGCTACTTCAGTCACAGTCGGGGTTGACGGTGGAGACGGTGTGGGAACACGTTCCAGCACGGCAATAATCGATTTGGAAATGTGCACGCGCTGTGAAATTTAAAATGAGTATTAAAAAATAAACAAGGGATATATGAGACTTTCGGAGATCACAAAATGAACCCGCCATTTTAGTCAAACCCTACAAGAGCAGAAGAGCATGTTTTGTTTTGTTCGAATCCCACCACCACCGCTTGATTTTCCCCAATGTGTGAAAGCCCCTTGATTGGTCACGTCCCTCTTCTTGAAAATTGTATCGCTATGTATTCAAAGAAAAGAAGGAAATATGAAGAAGGAAAAGGGCAATTGTAGAAACGGATCAAGGAACACTAGCCACAGTTGTCTAGACACATGGGCAAGGGTTTCGTCCCAAGTTTGTGTCATTTACCTAGCCGAAACGAGTCCCAGGTCTCCAGGGCTCTGGTTAGCATTTCAAAAGCGGTTCTTTTAAAAACTGGCAGCAAAAAAGGTTACTGGTACTAGCCTGATGAAGCCTGACACATGGGTTTACCGTAAATTGGTTCTGACAGTTAAACTTTAATAGACAAGGGGTGTTTACGTAATGGACATGCCTGATGATGATATTGATCCATTTTCCACTAAGAAACCAATGACTGTGCTAACTGTTACCTCATACGGATAGCGATTGTTTGTGTTCCCTCAAAATGGTAGTGAATGAATAAGGACAGTTCTCGAAATGAGTAAAACCCTCGCTCAGTTGTTTCTAACATACGGGAATGTACAGCCTTGAAAATGAAACTGTCAAAAACATTTTACGCCAGATATCGCAGTCTGAAAAATTCAACTGGTGTAATATTTCTACTTTACGAACCAGCTGATTTAGTATCGAAACAAAAGACGAGGTATGCTAGTTTTCTTTAGGCTCAGACGGCAGTTAAATATGAGCAAACTCCAGGATGCGTTCCAAATTAGCTAAGGTCAATAAAATCTGAGAATCGTACGTTACGTCTGACATATCACAAGTGAAAACAAAACAAATGCCTAGAACCTCACATAGCGCTTAGTTCCAACGTACTGCAACGAGCTATTCGTATAAGATGATATAATAACAGTGCCTTTTATTGTAATAATATCATGCGTATATCGAACAGCAATATTTATAGATACGACGCAAAAATAACCATGGGCTGAAAGAAGAATACAACAATACAAAAAACAACACAAAAAGAACCCTTTCTGGATAAGGAGTAACATGTTTTGCTTGTGTTCAGCATGTAATTAACCTTTTTAAATTTTTATTTTTTCGGTTGCGGACAGGGAAGAACGACTACACAACGGACATCAGTTAAATTTCATATCCCACAGCGTCTTTAGCTAAGGACATTCTGAAACTTTTGCCCCAAAACTTGGAAGTCGGAAAAGGCCGACGGAAGCCAGATTCGTACACAATTTCATCGACGCCCAGCACTACGTCATAGCTTGCTCGCCTCGCTGTTCATTCTAGTCGTGTCCGCAAATAGTGCCCGGTAGGGCAAACGTTATTCAGGTCTTCGTAGGATATGACCCAGCCACCTCAGGTGGTGCATTGAAGTGGCTTTGCACAGTGAAAGATTAATTGACACTAACACACGCCGTCTGATTCCATTTTTACTCACACGATGCCACACCTTTCGCGAGAGACATTGCTGTTGCACAGACAATGGTTGTCGAAGACAAATAGTCTTTGGACATGATCGACTCGGCGAGGCTAGGTTTCGCATAAATGGAGCAACACGGCGCGCACCGTTGCGCAATACACACCCTTTGAGAGAACGGAATACGTCGCGGCGGCGTTCCACTCACAATCTGCCATTCAAAGTATGATCACGTGACAGTGATGAATGCCCAGGAGAAGTATTTTGAGCTCACGCTTCACTGCTTCACTTGCCTAAGATACAGCAAAGATTACCTGTTTTTTTTTCTACCTGGGAAAGCGGCAGAGGAAAAATCATGAACTTACAGTAGCCGGTTCTACGTACCTGCGCCGAGGAGAAATTCTCCACATGCCGTCGCACTTGTGCCCGCATGGAAGGTTCCCGTTGAAAGATGGATTCCAAACGTTCAGGTGGAAGTTGCAGTAAGACTTGGTAACTTTGTGGACGTAGTTTAACACAACACCGGATGAAGCCATCCCAGAGTTGTTTGCTCTTCCACACCTGCAAATGTACAGTAGAATTGGAGTTAGGTATTGGACAAGTGAAATTGAGAAAAAAATCGATCCGGAAATATCCCGATGGAAACCACGTTGCCCTTCAGACTGACAACGTATGGCATACGAAGTTAAAAACGACCGAGAAAATAGGACAACAGTAAACGTCGATCTCGTATAACTTTATGACGCTTTTATAAACAAGTGCTTGTGAATTGATTGATCCGAGAAGCCGAAAATCAGTGGGAACTGAATGACTGCATTTGTTTGTTTGTTTTTTCTGACTGTGATGCAATACACTCCAGACATGTATTCACACATTCAGCATGCGATCCGATTATTCGCGCTTCAAACACTAATATATATATATATATATATATACATATACATATATATATATTTGCGGAGAGGGGAGGAAACGTGAGAACATAAAACATAAAAAAATGTTTGTTCTTGAAGCTTCATCAATTGACCAAATACACATTTTCACAGTAAACAAATGCGCTATGACAGCACAGATGATGGTGACCAAAGTGGTCCAGCATGCTATGAAATAAAGGAAGTTGGTAAATGGACTTGCAATTCTAGATATTTGCCTGTCGCTGTATGCCTTGAATGTCTTCCCTAGATGAACTAGTTGTTGAGAGAGGTACACAACACACAGACAATCCGATATTTGTCGCTAATCGCAGCTCGACCACACCAATTGTGACCCCATACCCAACAAATTCTGTTGGAGAACTAAAGTAGCAGAAATCATTCTGGAGAATAAAGTGCTCGGGTACATTGAACATGCTATCCGGGAGAGGGGTGGATGATATCGAAGAGATCGTGAGGGACGATTTAATCGTAAATCTTCTTCGCCTTGAAGTAACGCGTTGTGTTCACCTTATTTTCGTTTATCACAACGTCGTGTTTGATATGACCCATGCCAAACGGCCTAGAGCAGGTTGTGGATCAAATCAACAAACTGTATGTGATCGGGTTGTGCAGATTTATTTCAGTTGATCGTGTTGAGGACCAGGTGGGGTACGAGAAAAGTTATCAACATAAGATCAGTGTCCGGATTATGTCAAATTTGATTCTTTCCTCACTAGCCATCTACGAGGTTCAAATCACTGTATGAGAGCAGTGGACTGATCAGGAGAATTGCCACACGAGTCGATGAGATAAGTCCTGTTGATGTATTTTTTTTTAATTCACCAAAACTTCATCTATTGTAACACCATTGTGACAAGCGAGGCGAATCTGTACGATCACATACTCTTCTTCTTTTGGATATGTAACAAGTAACATGAAAAAAACGAGAGAACTTTGGTGTCCAAGTGATCCGGTCGGCAAATTGTGACCCGGAAGTCCCGAGTTTAAACTGTTCCACCATCGCCCGTCTTCCCTATTTCCGTATTTTTCTAGGCAGTTTTTGAATGGTCGCGGCCCTTTTCCTGAAGGTTGATTGTACATTTGTATATTCAATAAATAAAAAAAGGAAATAAAAATACACTTGTTTATCTAATTATTATTCTTATTATAATGGACACATTTTCGATGGATCGTCCAGAAGCAATTGCCGATTGTTCAAATGAATGAACATTTGGTTGCCTAGTGCCAGAAACAGAGGCCACCTTAGTAGGCGGATGATACGGTTCGCAGTTGCACAAAGAGGTAGGGCAAACCTCGATGCACGGGTTCGGGGTTGACTACGGAGGGTAAGTAAACGAACTATTCGATGAATGGATATATGTGGATGATACACTTTCAACGATCGGTCATCATATGTTAGACAAGTGGCCGCGGGAGGAGTATAACGAGAGGTTCGATGTACCGAGCGTTCTCTATTTTCGGAACCCAAAGGGCAGATGAATGCACATATGTGCATTCTAATCACTCAACAGGGCACCGATTTACGTGGGATACACGCATTGCGGAAGTAGTGACCTGCAGGGAATAGAGAAACAGAGATGATGCGAACTAGGCCATTCGTTCGCTTACTCCATGTAGAACCGCCACGGGAGATGATCACCAGTAAGCGTAACCAATTCCGAACCGCTGTTTACTAACCTGTTTACGTATCAGCCGAACCAGCACATTGATCACGTAACCAGCCAGGCGTGGATGCAATGCCAACGCCTGCATCACCGTGCGCATGAACAGTGTGGGCAGGACAGGTTGTTCGAGCAACTGTCCAATCGCGACGGACAAGCGTTCCTGGGTGAACAGACGGCGTTCGGCAAAACAAACACGACACGCGTGCAAAATATCTTGTAAACCGACGTAGGGTTTTGTCGAGTGGCCTGTAATGATGAATACAAAAAAAACAATACAGATGCTGCACATACACGTGTGCATGAACATACATATAAACACATACACACACAGAGCGGGGGCTGAGATGTCTAAATGTTAATACAAGTTAACCACACAAAATACTAGCATGTGGAACGCGAAAGGGATGCACAGTGCTCCGCACTACTTATCGGATGACTGCACTCCCTTGACTAGCAATCAAAACACGCTGAACAAGAGATAAAACGGAATTATCGGACTCAAAACACCCGTTCGGGCCTAACGAACGAACAGCATCGTGGTTGGCGGGGATGGGATGACAAGATGAAGAAAAGCACGATTTATGAATCCGGCCGGAAATGGATAAACAACGCAGTTTCTGGACACGATTCAAATGAGCAAGTGACGCTAAATCCTGAAACCACTACAATTCACGGCAGGCACATCAGAAATTCCGTGACACGGATATATGTTCATGGTGTGGTAGAGGAGAGTTGAATTACTGATGAGAACTAAGTGATTAGGAATTTCGCACAACCTCGATCCAGAGGGAAAATATCACCACTATTAGCAAGAAGTGTGGGGGAAAGTAAATGCTGTTTTTAAACGGGCAGCTGTACCCATCTCATCGCATGGTCACTCTCCGCCCTGTAGCATCATGCGCAAATAAAATCTGATTGATAATGATAAGTCTTAATGAAATTCGTTGAGACCAACAACACCCAACACAGCAATGAGCATGGCATTATTCAAACACTTCAAGTATACGGGCTACCACCCCCCTCCAAAGACCCACTCGGCAACAAATACGATTAAGACACGTGTCGAAGCACGCACGCATCGTGAGTTCAAGTACAAAGAGAGAGGATGATATACGTAGGATTACAGCTACAACGAAAGTGGTCTTGTGTTACCCGGATTATTTTATTGATCATCTGATAGACATTTAGGAGATTCAAAGTCGATAATAATTCATAAATGGGCGATGCCTCATATACACCCGACTGATGATGCAATCCGTGATAGTTCGCACTAGGACGTAGCATGCACGCACACATACACTGCATGCGCACAGCAATCGCCTCTGGCAACCATGTGGCAGGAGTAAACTAGGGTCAAAAAAGTCACATTCGCGTAAACGCCGTACGGAGGCACACAGACGCGTGCGAGAGAGTCATTGCTGGGACACAAAGGGCAAAACGAAAGGCAGGGTTTTGTGCGAGAACTTACTGTCATTGGGATCTTTGGCAAACTCGAGCAAATGTACGGCAACCAGCAATTCTTCCGGTTTCAGGGGACCCAACGGTGCCTCGAGTAGTTCCGCCGTCGAACATGACACATTTTGTACGGTGTTCATTCGCGGTGCATACTGCGTGGAGACGCTTGCTGCAAATTAGGATAAAAAAACAGGCAATATGTATATTTGGCACCACCATCTAGAACCCGCAAAGAAGTTGAATGAAAAACACAAGTGGAACGGGATAATCTTCACGGAACATCACAGTAATTATTTCGCATTGTGACAGTCAAAGTTACTATGGATGCACTTGTTGGGCTAGTGGAGTTGCCCAGATAGTTGTCCACTTCGGTTGAAAAGGCCTCATCTTATTTGTCGCGCTGTTAGTAATACAAACGTGTTGTAAAAAGTGAACAGGGATGAAATGCCACCTTAGGATCAATATAAGCAGGATTCTGTACCGAGTTGTTATGACGGGATACTTGAACGATGTCGGAAAAGCAGGTAGTGAAGGAGTATATGAAATGATAAAATAACAGCTTGATTCCCAAGAAAGAAAAATTACCTACCCGGAGGGCTAGTACGAATATCAACAGTTAGTACTAAAAGAATGCACAAATTGTGTGAAATAACGGAGTAAATGAATGAAGGTGCTCAGTAAACTCTGATCTACTTTTTGAGGATTACAGTGGTAACAGCGAAACGATTGAGCAACCCGTGTGCATTAGTTACATCGCAAAACGATCAGCAGTTTTCCTTTGGATAAAACAGAAATTAGCGAGATAACAACCGTTAACTTTTGAAATAGTAAGCATCATGTTTAAGAAAGGTGACAACAGCGGTACGGTGTGTATAATACGGATAATCGACGACTTGATCGTCAGAAAAGCCATGCTCTCCCCTCTTCCGCCCGTTACATCATTTCATGCGCGTGACACGCGATTGCAGCAATGCTACGTTTGTGGCAAGTCCCCGAAGTATTTATCCGAGACTCATCATGGCAACACTACCGCTGGTACGGATCCAACACGAAAACAAGGAATCTGGTTTACTCCGGACGTCCCGATACTCAGTGCAACCTTTGGTAGCCTTTGACTAGCCACGAGATCCTTGTGTGTACTTGTTAAGCATCAATGAAAACGGTAAAAAAAATTTGCTACGGCATAGAGTATATGAGCGATTTGGTCAATACCACCCCCAAACTGGTCAAAAACAACAAACACGGCGGAGCAGGTACTATAAATAGAAACTAAAATAAACTATACCTCTTTTCAACTAGCGTTAGGACTTGTATCACGCACCTCTCCAAAGCGACTCGCCCAAAAAAGCGACCAGTGACTGAATGTGAAGTGACGTGATTGTGATATGAACTTCTTCACCGGCGATGTGCGTAAGTCGCGACAGAGTTTGACTTCTCGCACTAGACGACTCGTCTGAGTAGCTTTGGTCCAGCGCTTTCCACACATCATAAAAAAAGTTTGGTAATACTACAATCCCACAACCTCGGGTTTCATTCAACCGAAATTACACTCTCTTAGTTTCCCACATTCACATTTATCGAGAGCTCAAAGAACTTTAGTGCTTCTAGAACGCTCAACAAGTGTCTAGCCAAAGCAAAAGTGTTCCAAACAAATTTGTTTTTTTGGCGTAGAGCTGACTCACGAGTTATTCACCAGGCTCTCTCTTGAGTAACTCTTAAGTAACCATGTAATTGGTAGGCAAGTTAAACTAACTAAGAGCCACGGACACCCCCCACTGTAGGAATGAATCGACTTACCATTGAGGAGACGGGTTAAAACCTCCTTGACCACTTTCTCGTTCAGTTGAATCAGTCTTGGCAACGCAGCAATCACCTCTTGTTTGGACAAGCCAACCAATATAGGAATCAAACAGCGCACATCGTGTACTCGCTCACTGTACAGTCGATATACCCGTTCGACCAGACTCGCCGGGGGCATGATCACCGGGGCGGGAACGGTTGGCGTGGGGGCTGGTGTGGCACCGACATTCGATTTCTGTCCCGTCTGATTATTGATCGTGGCCGAAGCAACGGTGGCGGCGGCAGCAGCAGCCGCAGCCGCAGCAGCGGCAACGGCTGATGGAGAGTCAGTCAGTAGATGAATCATTCGTGTGATGAGGGTCTCTGCGCCAAGAGGGCATCGGTCAACAAGGTCGTGCAAGTCCAAGGAATATATGCCGATCTCCCGGATCTAAGATTCACCGGTACGGACAAAAGACAACGTAAACGAAAGCATTTGAGTACGTATACAAAGTGACTGTGCTGGTGGATAGGTGTGTGAGCACGCCAATGCGAAGTAAGTTTGGGTAATTTGTATGAAATATGCAAACCAGACTCGAGCATTGTAACAAGGACGATAATCCCACAAAATCCGGAGCTTGCCACACCCCATCTGAATACAGTGTCGTATAAAATAGATCAGTGCTGTATTACTGCTGTCGGTTTTCCGTTGTTACTGACATTTAACAAATGTTCTGTGCTATGTTGTTTCCTGTTTATCGCCTAGTGGTCACGTGGATTCCCATTATTCAACGATCGAGGTGCATAGAACGATTACATGACTCGACAGGAAAAGTACGACTTTCCACGGATTGTTTAAAACTGGCAAGATAAACCACATCATGGATTTCCTCCATGCGACCGCTTAGAATCTCGAAACTCAGTGATGAGATGCAAAGTTATGCGTCAATTGATAACAATTGGTTGAGCAATATGTGATTTTCCCACGAGCAAATCACGGAGTATTTTTTGCAATGATTATTGTATACACAATTAGCACTGCAGACCATGAAGGAATAGAATTCACTCGATCGAATGTAGATGAAATCGAAAAAAGGAGACTGATTGGGTTTCAACTCACCGGTTGGTCGATCATTCGCAACACGCAACGTTTTACTTCCGGACCCGCGTTCACATAGACCTCGGCCAGTCTGGTTCATACGAAAAATCGACCGGACAAAGCAAATAGTTAGGGACACGGAAACAATAAACCGAGAAATCATAACTACTCGAGGAATGCAATGACATGATAATTGACGAGAGGAAAACAGTTATACAACTACGATGTGCAGCACTCCAGTGCTTCAAGCCGGGTTGTGAACGAATATACTCAACCAAAAATACCAACAAAACATATCAGAAAGGATAATCCGACAATGTTTCCATAAACGGATTATAACAACCGAATTAGCCGTCTCTCAAAAAGCTAGCATCAACAGCCTTCATGAGAGAAATCATATTCACTATATATACTCTCCCGAAAACTATCACTATCCACGCTCAAAGTGGCCCTAAAGAACGGCAGCAAGCTTGTCCCGGAGGAATCGTAAAAAAAATGAAGCGAGAGAATTGCACCCTAGGACATTATTTAGTTTGGTTATGTGTCACAGTGTGCTGGGTGACCCACATGTAGGATATGTGACGGAATGATTTACAATCTGATCGATCGATATCCATCGGTATTAGGTGGAACCCTGAATCCAGGGTTGGCGTAACTTCTTTTGCTCAATCTGCAATTCATTGTGTACTTGTAGTTCCCAAAACAGTCCGCATCATGAAACGTCATAATCGACCATCACAGTGGCATACACAGAAATTCTGTGCATCAATGCGTTGAATAACACAGAGTTGTTATTTCGTTCGTTTATCGGATTGACAATAAGCTATATACCGCGATTTTCAAACACCACGTCCAACAGTGCCGTGCTATTGTGTGATCAATTCTGACCTGTCTTAGCCGGGTTTGGGTGGTAGATAGTAGCCTTGTTGTCCGGTTCGATACCACAAACTTGGTCTCCTAAATTTAAGGTTACTGGTTGCCACAACTGAACATGAGATCATTGCAACTATGGCTACCAACCCCTCCACCGTTCCACTGACAATGGCGCGTGTTAAAAAATATGCCTGGCACTTTCAGACATATTCCCAGTTCAGTGTAGTTCCATCCATTATATTAGTTGAGGGTCTGGTCAAACTTTGGTCCACAACCGTAAATGTACATTCGCGCGTAAATGGTTATACGCACACATAAAGGGAGCGGAAAACAGATCATATCAATAAATGTGCATAGAAATCCGTTGGACCAGAGAGCGAACCGTTAAAACCGCTCATATGTATTTCATTAAATAATCCTAAAACTCACTTTGAGGGTTTTCGTAAATCTCTAGAATCGAATGCCGACTGCCACCACATTGAATGCGGCAAAACGACAACACGATTACAATCAGTCAGTTGCATTGCATATATCAAGACAAAATCAACTGGACTGCACAGAATAATTTTTGTGTGTGAGAGGAGTTGTTGACTGGAAACAGCGTCCGAACTCCAAAAACAACAACTACTCACTTGTGCATCAATGACGGGCTTTGTGGCATCAAACCGAGGAACAGATGAGCACACGCCTGACACGACTCGTCATTCCACTTGCTGGGCACAACCGGATGGTTTGTGAATGGAAAGATATCAGCCGTGGGGCGTGGCTGTGTCAACTTTCTCAACACATCAGTCGCGAAAGCCTGGAACGGAGAAACCAGATGATCAGGTGTGGATCACCTTTCATACATAAGACTAAGGAATCGTTTATTTCATTGGAGGGGGGAAGCTTATAAAATGCATTCTTAGCACCGCAGGCAAGATAGAGAATGCGGTTAACATAGAACTAAGTCAACCTAATTGGTAAAACATGGTAACCAGGATATGCATAACCCAGGTCTACTGTAAGAGATATATTTCGCAGTACAACAACAACAAAAATAGATGCATTAAGAATTCGTCAACACAATGCACGCAGTCACAGTGAACTCTGATAAAAAACAATGAGCTGAAACACAGTCAGGCCACCATGTTATAATTTTGTTCGCAATAAGGATACACGCTGTTTAGAAGATAAACAATAAGAATGCCGAGGAATCGTCGAGAACAAGCGGATCACAGCCAAAAGGATCCTTCAACATCCGCGAAACATTTTAAGCATACTAACATATTACACAGTGCTGTTCGGTACAATACAAATAGCAGAATGCAGTGGTAGTCAACTTAAGTCCCACTGTAACTGGATCATTATTGTTAAGTGGAACAGGTTACTATATGCTTCGGTTTGTACGCACAACTAGTGAATACAGTAATAAAAAGACAAAGACGGCAGTGTAGCAAAAACAAGATCCTGAGACACTCATTAAAGGATCCTAAAACATGGGTAGTTACCCCGGAAAACCTAAAATGGCTCTTATTATGTTTTCAATAAATTTTATTAAATTGGAAGCGTCTTACGTTTTGTATAAGTAACTGAAAATTTAGAATCTAAGGACCCCTGGGTCAAGACGGTGTGGACAAGAAACTTTTTGGGCTGTTACGATCGAATTCAAGTCAAACTTGACGTGGCGGATTTCTTCGAAAATGAAACCACTTACATGAAAAGGTGATATACAAATGTTTAAAAAATTCGAAAACTTCTGTGGCACCGCAAAATGTGAATTAGGTTCAGACATGTGAATCGCCAAACCAAACAACCTTAATTCCTATGTCAAGTCTTAAACCAAATGGATAGACATACATAAACTAAAAGATTGCGGATATACGGTAAAGGTCTCCTAGATTCCAAAGGTACATACATTGTTGATTCTGGCTTCTAACTGACGCAAAAGATAAATCATTTCATACCCTAATCGGCATGGTAGTTATGTGAATAAGGCCCACCTTACCTCAATGTGACGTTTCCATCGGTCGTCGAGATTGGTCAATTCCCGAGTGGCCGTTAAAGCGGCACGACGAATTTCCGAATCTTCTACCGCGCAAAAGCTAAGCAACATGTTCAACAGGTATTCGCGTTGACCGACAGGACGCAATTCGATCAGTGTACGCAAAACCTACAACACAGGACGACCAGATAGGCATGTGTGATGCAGACTAGCATGAAACTGTCTACTAAAGGTTCATCACGAATATCATCAATGAAAAAACGCAAAAACAAAACATAACTAAAACAGTGAGAGATGCCCTTGTCAGTTTCCATTCCAAATCACAGATACAGAGCCTGTGTGCAGTTGTTCTTCTGTGGCATTCGCTGTATAGGAGTTTATTCAATCATATAAATGAAGGCCAACAAAGAGTGCCGGACATCTATTTCGTCCCAGTTGGGCTCGTCACCAGTGCACACTATCCTGGTGTCCCTGCTAGAAATGGAAATGGGGGCCGGGTTGAGAGCTGAAAACATTACTCCTGAGCAACAGGGTGAACACTGAGGTAGTGCGCACCACTGACGGGTCCCAACACGGACAAAACAACTTTCCAGTGGTCTATGTCCGCCTTCACACAATATTACGAACGTAATTAAACATTGCAAGGCGATCAATTATCAACTACTAAGATATCGGGGAGTCCAACACAAGAAAAAAGTGAGCAAACAGGTTTAGTGCTATGAGCAATTCGATCCTGTTATGAAATCAAAACAAGCAGGAACTGACGGTCGTGATTAACAGTCATATCCCGGGCATGTTTTCCTCGAACAAGAAGTGCATTATGTAGCCAGCGTTTTCTTGAATCGACGAATGGATGAATGGACGATCTGATTGGTGCAAGACCTGTTCTGCGTTTTCCTCAACTATAGACTTGTGTAGTCAATAGTAATAGAAGCGGAAACACCATTGGCATGAGAACTTACTGTTCAGTCTTGATAAACGGTGAGTCAATCTCTGGGACATGGAGTAACGAACCACATCAGTCCACATTAGAATAAAGATTATATCGATCCCATGACAGTGAATCCACCACCATAGTTTGGTGACGCTGGTAGGGTTCGGACCATAGGATCCAAAGCACACTGATGACAGCAACACAGGTGTTGAAGGAATGCCAGGGAGCTCACCACATAATAGGACTAGTGCAGCTAGATTCGCTTCAACAGTACTCATCGTCACGTACATAAAACTTCCTTCCCCCTCTCCTCAGGCTTTTGCTTGATGTTGAGATTTCGGCATATACAACCATTTTAGGATCTGATACGTACATTAGACAGTGATGGAAAAACACGCCTCGATCCTGGCGTTGGTTATTCCAGGGGGGCAAAAGGAAACGGACAGAATGAATATTCGCTGGTGACACAGCGACATGTGCTCTATTCTGATCTTATCCATAGAGTACGATCACGAAGCAACAAGTCTGCCGAAAAACAATGACGATGATCCCAATCGAGCCACGAATGAAACGGATCGATTTAGTTCAATTTTTTGGATCAAACTTTTGCAATGAAACTGTTTAGTGTCCCCCAGTGAAGATGAAACCGTTGAACTGACCTGAAATCCGTAGGCAGCTTGGGTTGGATTTGAACAGTATCGCTTCAACACGCTGATTGCGCCGGACGTGAGCAACGGTGCTTCTATGAGGAAACGACCAAAGTAACTGCGGTTTGCAAACGGACGGAGAGTAGGTTCCGATGTACAGCATTGGGGAAAACAAAGACAATTTGTGAAACCAGGTGAAAGTAAATTGGAGACGCTGTAATGGGAAAAAACTTAGCCCCTCCCCTCAAAAAAGTATACCTTTTACTAGTTGAACTTATGATATACGAATTATTCAGCAAGGTTCATTTGGTTTAGTGACAGAAAATACATCAACAGCTTCGCGTCTGTGTGAAGTGACCGTGCAAAGCACGGGTTTCTCGAGGGTGTTTGGTATCTCGGCAAAGATGGGTGATATTGCCCATGTTGCTCTTGTGCGAACTGTGCCGCACTCCCTTAATATAAACAGTAGTGCTCAGTAAAATTGTAATGTATTCACGAGTGCTTATCAATATGAGTGACAGTGTGATTTTTCGTTTGCTATCAACAATCATCAGAACAAACTCCCGTAAGCAAAGGATCCCGCAGATTAGTGACAGTCAGTAATCTTTTCGATAGGCCAAGGAAAACACAATACTTTTTTACGAGCATCAAGTCCAGTGAGGAAAATTGTGTTTGGAGTGTTCTCTGCTGATTTTGAACCGCCCGCATACACTGCATACCCAAAAATTGCGGTCTAACCCAGGTTACATCGATCAACTTGGAACGATCTGATCACCTGGGTACTTTNGGGTTCTTTTTATTCCCCCCCCCCCAACCTCACTGCCTTATTCAACATAAGGACGGGGTTGAAATCAATCTGTCGCACTGCTCTTTCATGTCCTTCTCTGGAGGGTATCCAGTGAAAATTCATCGATATCATTATACACACGCATAAACCATTTTAAATTTGTGTTCAAAATAACTTTTCATTGGATTTATACTCAAAAGTGCAACTCGTAAGGACTGTCCTGTATTCCCTTCTTTTCCTTTCCTTTGTAATAGATGTGATTTTAGACACTACCCGAATTTACTGCAAAAATGGTGACGTACTGCTTCGCTCTTGCTAACAAATTTCGGCTTTGGTTGTGCTGTTGAATGAGCAAGAGTTTCTTGAATTGACTGAAACAGGCAATCAAGTTGTAATTATGAACTGCGTACCACTATCTCCAAGCTTATTTGGCGTTTCTCCCCATTCAGAGTATAAAACGTCGATCGTATCAGGTAGACACAAATTTTTCCAATATAAAGGAAGTAAAATGATAGAACACATTGGCAAATTTCTCTTGAAGTATGGGTTTGGGATGAAGTTGCTTCATGCATAGTGAGGGATGGTTTGGTATCCCCTAGCTTTAGTTCTCTGTGATGTCAAAATCATATCCGTTTGCCCGTTAGGGATGGAGTACACGCTACAAAAAATCAGTTATTTAGATATATATGTTTCGAATATGGGATCGTCAAAACGCAGACAGACAGCAGTACACCAAAATTTAATGGAACGGTGGTCTTAGGTAAGTGCGCTGAAACCATGGATTGGGTCGTGTTACAGTTAAGTGTAGAATATTAAATCATTGTAGTCGAAAAAAATCAATGCCCAATCATCGGGGAACTCATTTATTGGGTGAGCTTTCAGACAGAAACGTTCTCAAAAAGAGTAACTTCCGGTCAAAGTTAACATCGATCAGCCTTGGCAGCTGCATTAGTTCGTACATGTAAAGTTGAAATATCGGATTATGGCCTCCTATACTCGTCTTATGTGTGCATGGCAACTCCAAATAGTACATTCAGCTAATAATATAATTACCTCGATGGAATTATATCGTTGAGGATTCAAACAACGGTGCCGTATATGCTAGTTTCGGCTGTGCTGTGGGACGAAGGGTACAGAAAAAACGAGGTATATACTTCACCTACTTAAATATGGTCAGTAACGAGATACGTATTGGGAAAAAATCCAGTGGGAATGCCCACAAAACGGTGGTCCCCAATGAGAAGTGCCCAGAAAAAATCACTGATGCTGAAACGGAAACAAGCCTCATGGGTTGGTAAATATGAGCTATTGGCAAAATCTATAACAGTGGGAAAACCGGAGTTTATAATAATAATCAAATCTATAGTTCCATGTGAGTAATGGAATTCCCATTTGAAATCTATAGTTGGCTGGATCATCTGAGGATCGTGTGTTGAGGGTAGTCAATAGACCCTGTTCGCCTTTCGATTAGCTGCGCTACACTCCCGTGTTGATCGTCGTGATCGATTCTAAGATGTATTTCATCAGTATATCGGAGCAAAGTATACCTAGTATCTATGTTTATGCTCATCAGGACATGCATCGAATGAAATCTGTGAATTCTACGCATACCGCAAATTATTGTAAAAATACGAACTGGCACGGGTATATGAAAACCCTAAACTGGAGAGCCAGTCATACAGGTCACGTTAGGTTCCCTTGATGGGGACATCGTCATCATTGTAATCAATGGTTAGGGAAACAGTGAGATATGGCTGAATGTCGTAAACAGTGGCATTCGTGCATCTACTCTATTTCTTTACAACTTTGGCCCACCGAAATTCACCATTTTCTTTTCAATTATGCTTGAACTGTCCTGTCTTTCTCCTACCGCTCCGTCCAAAAGAGCAGCCANGTTCAAACAAAAGCAGACAGACTGCACTTACTTGCAGCCCTCTTGCCAAGATGACTGTGCCATTATTAGTCAGCACTAACGTTTGGTCGCTATTATCGAAGGCCTCGAATGTAACATCTATTTTAAACACACGCAGTAAGTCCAGCACATATTTTGTATGTGTAAAAGAAACTCGGCTGAATCAAAACGTTGAAGACGTGTTCGTGTGAACAGATGGCTTCGATTGCTACCGCCATGGTACGCAGTAAGAAAAAACGCGGGGTGTGGCGTCGCAACCTGCACCAGTCTCCTGGAGAGGCAAGTCAGAAGTGACATACAACTATTCTGAAAAATCAACTGACTGTTATAGAGTCCCTGTCATCTCGGTCTATTCCTAAATCTGGGTGTCAAGTTAACATCATTACAATTGCAAAGGCCTCGTCCTCAACTGTTCTTGTGAAACGGTTTCATCCCATCGCGCTTACCTCTGCAGATGAAAAAGTTGAATGAAAAGGTCATCCCTGAGTCGCTTATAGTCAATTACCACAACTTCCTATTACCCCTTCCAGTTTGCTGATAAATTGAACAGATATACACTGGACACCGTAACCACTCTAATCCAAATCATTGAACAGTTCAGCCAAGTCTGTCTGTTGTGTTTTTCTTGACTATTCTTACACGTCCGATTCCGCTTCTCGATCATTCTCCTCTAGTTATCATTTATGGTATGCTTCGAGGTGCTGTTCTATCTCCATACCTCTCTTCTAATTTCCCGTGATCTTTCTGCCCCACTCGCCGCATACATCCAAAAGTATGTTACTGATGTCATTTTGTCAGACAGTTTCCTCTCCTTCGGAAATCGATTTATTCACTGAAAATCTATCTTATATCCAACAGTTTACCAACCAATCTGGTCTTAGTCTTAACACACCTTTAAAGTAACTTGTCTTTCTGGTTCCTGCTTTTCAGTAGACTCTGCTAACCTTAAATGTAACCAGAATGACCAGAATGACTTCTGTCATCAAAAACAATAATCTCCGGTGATCCACACACATTTGGAATGGCATGGGAAAACTGAGACACTTCTCTTTTTAGTTACGCAAACTCAGACAATTCCTAACCCCACAGTCAGTTTTGTCCTTTCTCGTTCCCCAATGCGTTTTTTTCATTTTAAGCTATTGCTACTCTGTAGTATTTCCCGGCCTTGTAAACAAGACTTCAGAACCATTCGTCATCGTTTAGTAATAATCAGTCATGCATCATGGATTTCAATCAATTCATTAATCACAGAACTCATCACTCGTCACATCAACTCATGTGTTAAATTTGTTAATAAGATTCCAGACAACCCTCTTCATCCACTGCATCCTGATCTGTCCTATTGCCGTTCCAATTCATTGACAAGTTCCGCTTTTCGGTATCTAGCCTCTTGTAGCAGCACTTATAAGAATCTCCCTAAACCTTGCTTGGCCCAACTCCCAACCAAAAAGGAACATATCGAAAGTGAATTACGTAAGAATTTTTGTGCATCAAACAAAGCGCAGTAACATTCCTAAATTTACATGCTGTATGAAATTCCATATTTTATTCGGTGTGACGACGTCTTTTGACTTAAAGATACGCATACAAGCTTCTCAAGTTATACAAACACAAAAACAATGGTGATTCACTTCAGATGTTGAATGAATATTACGCAATGTGATCTCATTCACTTGTTAGATAGAACTGAACCGATAAATAAGTAAAAATAATTGTTATAACTGAATGAAACCCACGTTTGTCGAATATCCGGGTGCTTAAGGCGTTGCAGAACGTCTACCAGGAGGCAATCGTAAAATGACAGACATCCCAGATCATCCGGAGGAGCTACCGTGGGAGTTTTGCTAATACCCAACTTTCCATCTTTGGTCGATTTAACCGTTGCTTTTGATTCAGTCCTCACGCCGGTTGAGTTTGAGTCGTCCTTTTCCTCTTTTGAACCTTCATCCGCATCACGTTTCGCTTCGGCGGGACCGTTCGACTCGGTAGCACCGTGTTCGATGGGTTCATCCTCCTTTTTCGAAGACGCACCACAAACAGTGATGACATTTCGAGAGCTAATATGACTAAAGTGTGTGTCCCCGCCTTCTTCTTCAGTTAGGCCCTTCTCACGCTCAACTGCTCCATCTTCGTTGACGTTTTCCGTATCGTGGACTGGATCTTGTGAAGCCGTGGAAGTGCTATCTTGAAGAGAAGACTTTCTCTCACTCGGCTCTTGATCAGTGAGTAGCTCGACTCCTGACTCATCTCCCTCCGTCTCCTTGGATTTGTTTTGTCGGGCTCGTATCAGGGCCAGTTGATGGCGACGCGACTGGAGGAAAGCATTAAATCCAACTAATTGGAATCCGCGAGAACGACAATACTCCTGCATCAACAGTTTCGATAACAATTCGAAACCGTGCCTCAGATTCTTGATAGCATACTCGATGAGAACTGTGAGAAAGGAGGATAGTGAAACGGTTTCCAAAAAGCCACAGAGTTAAAAATATGGTACTAGTCAACTCTGCTTGTTGGAAGATCAAAAAATGATGTGATTTTAATATTGGTCGCCTCGTGCTTGTGTGTAACGCACCATAAAGATAACTAAGTCACTTGGGTTGAAGGAATAATAATGAGATTCAACCAACAAAAACACCAATGGTACAAGGCATGTTAAAGCCCAAACAACTGAATTTCCGGAAGTTTATTAGTAGGTGAATTGAATTGACTTGAGCGGTGAAATAATTGCACTCTTGAAACGATGTTAACCTTGAAAATTGTTTACCGGCATTTGTTTCTAATCTACGAAAGTAGCACCGGAAGGAAACAGAATTCATGAATTTTGCAGGATCCATTGATCAAAACTTTCAATTCATTTAGCCGCACCATGAACTGTTTGCTCTCAACCATCTTTCCACCTCTGCAAATAATGTTCTGTGAGAGGGTCTATCTGGAGACATGACTGACGTCTGTCCCAACCATCTTAGTATAAGGGGATACAAATGCTGGTATCGGTGCTTGGTATCGACAGCCTAGTTTACGACATACCTGAACTTACATTATGGATTTGATGTACCAATAGACACTGTTTTATAACGATATTGATGGTCAAATAGCTATTGACAGTCGCATAACCACTAAGTAAGGCTGATGGAATCGTCGCTATACAAAGGACAGTTGACGAACAAAAGACCAAAGCATAAAGATCCTAATACAACCCAACTGGAGAAGTCAAATCGGATTCGCTATTGACCAGCCAAGACTACTTTTCAGATGAAAAGAATTCGAACATGATAGACCAAACGAATACCGAACAGGCGAAATGGAATTCACTTCATCCGAGCTACGAGAACCAATCTTCAATATTTTGTCAACCGAACAGACATGTACTGCTCCGATTCAGGAAAGAGTGGAATCACTCTGGGTTATCACCCGGAAATAAGTTAATGTAGGGACAACCAATTAAACAGTTGCTTTGTGCTCACAACGCTGCACTCGCTTGATGTACATGGACGCGGACAATTTGACAAAAACATGACTCACTTTTGTAAAACTCATTGCCACCGAATCGCCGCATTGTGAGTCGTGTGAGCAGTTTCATCCGGCTCAGGTGAGCCGAAGACGGTAGTGATTCGGAACCGGTTAGCGGAACCACTTGATTATCGTTCGCAGTAGCGGGGAATCGCGCAGTGGAACCTTCCAGACCTTCAATAATACGCGAAAAGGCATCCTGTGCAAGTTGCCTCTGAATAGTTGAATGGATCGGGACTGTCACCGATTCCAGAGAGAAAGGTCGGGCAGGAGTGGGTACTGGATGGGGCAACAAATGAAATGAAAGATTATCAGGAACGAATGAAAATAAAGTCTCTCGTCAAGAACTCAACAAACCTTCAACCATTGCAACGCTGAATAGTTCGGGTTTTTCTAGTTGTGTTCACTGGGAAAAACTCTGGTTATCACTTTGTTTCCCCCTGATTTTGTATGCTCGTTATTACCCCGGAGTTGTAGCTCAATTAAGAACGAGTGGAAACCTCAAGGTACAAGATGAAATGCACTCAAATAGGAGCACTTTTACAAAGCATCTGCCGGAGAAATGCAAATCGTTACTTTTTGCGGTTGGGGTATTTCCGCAATAAGGATAGGACGGGGAGCTGACATCAGGAATTTTGTCTCAATTGGTGTAATCAGGACCAATTATCTATAAAGTACATGGGAAATTTGAAGCATTGAGTTCCCTTTATCCATTTCATCAAAACAGAAAGAAGACAAATGTCGCGCGTTGTTAACATTTCGTTCAATCTTCTCAGTCGCTGACTTAAAACAAACACTGTATACCAGTTCACCTGCAGTTGCGGTGACGCATACATACATAGGCAGAACAAACCGTCAGCTGTCACAACGGATGGCCGAACATATTCCAAAGTGGTTGGTGAAATCGATGACGCAACCGAAAAATGATGGCCAAGTGATTGCCAGAAATCCAGGATCATCTGTTGCAAAACATATTATGGCAACAAGACACACAGTTGACCCCAATTCGTCTTTCAAACCACTATTACGTAATCGAAATGCTTAACTTTTGGCGATTAGTGAAGCACTGCTTATTCGATTACATCACCCGACCCTGTGCGCACAGAAGTTTTTGATACAAGCTATCCACTTACCGTGGAGCTGACCTTCTACTTCTAAACTTAGTAATCATTGCATGCTTGTACACGTTTGTTCACCAAAATTGATTAATCCCATGTGCTATATATGTGCGTTTGTTTTAAGTCAGCGACTGAGAAGATTAAACGAAATGTTAACATCTCGCGACATTTGTCTTCTTTCTGTTTTGATGATATGGGAAATTCTGAATTAAATAATTTCGCTAACTCGATAAAAAAAATCAGAGTACCGACAGAATGGTCACCGACTCGACTGCGCAACTAACGGATTGATCATACTGAATGCTTCGAAAAATCATCAATTCGAAAAAGTGGAATCCGATTTATCAATTGAGTGCAGACAGCAAGAACCACTTTAAAACCTTTTTTTAATTGCTCAGTCGAGGAATTGGAGATGAGATCCCTGATTCCAATCAGTCAGTCAAATATTTTCGTCCTTGAAGTTATCACTTAAAAATAATCGTTATTATGCTTGAATATATCAGCAAATGAGGCAAAAATTCGGTTTGATCGATTAGTCCTTGTGATTCACAGCTTCGATAAGACAAAAATTGAAATCCAAACTCACAATGGAACATGCTCCAAAAACTTGGTTACCTTTTCCGATTTCGTTTGCTACTAAGATGAGTTCAAAAACATGGGTAGACGATTCCGTGAGTCAATCCCTGAAGATTTGCGACGCAGAGGTATCGACAAGCTTGCTGACTGTTTGGAGAGAATGCAGAATTGAAGACACTACATCATAATAAACTTTTCTACTACACTATGAACAAAGCCCATAAGACCGCATTCACCCAATCTTAAACCCAATAGAAGTAGTGAACTGTCGTACAGCGCATACATCTAATTTGATTTTAGACAACTTTTCCCTCCGTGGAGGCAGGTCGACTTCATGGATGAATTTCTGAACCTAAGCCTCAGACAGATCCCAGCACCAATCGATGGAATTCTCTCATATTTGTATACTTCAAATCCACTGTCGAAGGAAGTTCATGCTATTCACTTAACAGTTCCTTTTAAGCAGAACATGATATAACCGCCCGATTCTGCGGAAGGCAGTATAGACGGATTTCGTGGTATACGGTACGGTAGCTAACATCCAAATTGAGACGATTTGATAACAGCAGGTGATTGGAACGCTGACGTTGATTGGTCAGTTGGGTACACAAGCATTGTTACCACAGCCGATAGGTCGACATATGTTGTAGTGGTCGATCATTTTCAGCGGGCAATGGCCGAAGCCTCGATGATACACTTAGATAACGAATATAACGAGCGGGATTTAATTTTTGAGAACACAATGCAGCCGTCTCCCCTGACTAGGAACGTATGCTTTGAAAAGTGCCCAGAATGACAAAAACTGGCAATTGGGTTGCATAACCAGTCACATTTAGACTATATCGAATATTGGAAACCTGAGAATATAGAACTGCCTCATATGTCCCAACTGAAAAATGCTATTCCCTAGTGCTGTCCAAAGAAAAGCTTCACTAGCAGACGAAGAATTATGCCACCAGTTCTATCACGTATCTGGTCACTCAGTGAATCCATAATGCAAGACGTGGCAACAGGTGCTATATACCTACTAACCCTACACCAAATAACTGAAAGGGAAACACCGGTCGAAAATGATCTAACTGAAAAGTGTGTTATCTTTTCTCTCTTCAGCAACTAGATCCGGAAGTAACAAACTGCTAAAACTGGTCTCAATTACCGCGAAGAAGCAGTCGTGCAAATAGTATATTCAGCAACTTCGACATTTGACTGATGATAAATTGAGCGAATACCCTCATGTCCATTGGATAGCATTACTCCCAAAAATTAATTCCTGTGTTATTAACCTCGGTGACCCCAATACAGGACAGAGACAGTTAAAATGGCCTTGTCCAGGCAGTCGAGCTTAGTGATGCTTCGCAGCAAGAGAACCCCAAATGATCATTGGAATCGGTAACGATTTAACGAGTATCACAGTGAGCAAGAAGAATTGTGGAACACAAAACGGATTGGAGTCACAACTAAACTCGGAATTTTCGCATAAGGTGTTGTTTATAGTTGCAACCACAAAGACAAGGCACTTTATCCTACCAGAATGGGTACACGTACGTGGAATATCAGCCATTGGAATGGGTGGAACGGGAGCTGCAGTGCCCAAGGCGGCCCCAGTTTGTGTGAATGGAGTGGTCGCAACGGATGAGTTCAACGCGTTAGGTACCATCATCATGAGTGGAGGAGGCGGTTGAGCTGGATTGAACTGTGCCATGAGAACATTACTTCCGGGCATACCAGGAGGAGGGATGTTGGGGAACATCGGTGGCAATCCGGGTATTAGAGATGAGGCCACCGCGGCTGGCGCAGTGCCCGATACGGAACAGATCTCGGCTTGTTGCTGTTGTTGTTGTTGTTGTTTCTGATTATAACCAACCAGAGTGGATATGTTCATTGGTTGTAGGCGCCTAGCGGCATTTGCACGAATCAGAGCATCTTCAGCTTCTGCATCGTCTCCAGCCTCCGCTTTACTAGCAGCAGATGCCTAGAGGTGATCCAGAGAAGGCGGGAGAGTGAAAAAGTTGAAAGTGAAATTAGTGTGCAACACGAGACCGGAAGAGTCTGAAATTGAGGCACAACAACCTGGTTCAAGGGTACGTCACCGGTAAGTAATTTTGTTCACCGAAAAATATCTATTGATAGTAGAACAGGCAAAGATTAGTATTATTAAACAGATTTTGTTTCACTAGAATTTTAACAGTATACATCATCCTTGTTGACCGTTGTGTTTATATTCTAAGCTTTTAGTATTCAAGTTTGAGAACAGACCCTGAAATCCTCATCCAATCGTGTTACACAAACCAGAGTGATGAAAAGCGCTGAACTCCATAACCATGAGGATCAACTGTTCGATTATGAGAACCGGAAACCTAAAGACTGACTGGAACTTGGATATGGTGATTCACTTAACACCCCCAATGAAATAAGATTCGCGTTGAGTCAAAAGACAACGAAGCTGCTTACCACTGACATCCGAAGTAGGTAAGTTGACCGGAATCCAATCAAGCTGTCAATCGCATGATCGTATTCAGACCAAGGGATCGACCAACCACCCGGAATTTCAGTGACACCCTATTAATCACCGGTTCGCGTTACCGGTGCACGTGTGATCAAACAATGCGTACCACGGAAGCAAGTACCGATAATGTAGATTCGCTTACCAAACGACGTTTCTTCGCTCGAACCGCGTCCTTAGATTCACCAACACCAGAATCCGCACTGCCCCCGAGCTCGGATTTCGATCCACGTTTCGAACGTGATCCCCGACCGTCGGCAGCAGCTTCTTCAGCGGTCGGTCGAAGAACAGACTCCAATTGAGCCACGTTCTCAGCCATATCCGTCTCGCTTGACTCACTCGCCCACACAGTCAACTGTACAGCAAGTAAACGAGCCAGATGTCGAATCTGAGCTGAAGTGCCTGCGGCGGCAATTGGGGTGTAAGTGGACTGGAATGCCGCAGGCATCTGATCAGGTAGCGTAACCATGCTAAAGAATAAAATGTAACAATGAGAAACATGAATTTTTTGAATAACATGCACCAAACAAACTATTGCCGTTGAATAAAAGTCACCCACAATGTGTAACTAAAATGAAGAGAAGTGAACTGAGCCCCGATCTGCTCAGTGACCTATGACCGTTCAAACGGTAAAACTCAGTGTATGTCTATGCCAACCCCAGAACTACCACTACCACTGCCATTGGGAGTATCTGAAGGTAACCATTCGAATTAGGATGGACATAATGTGCGCTGACGACCGAACCGAAAGAAAACAGACTGTTTGTGTCTCATTAGCGGTTATTCCGACCTGTGTTCAAAAAGTTGTTAACCCTTGTTTTTGATCGGCACAAAAAGTTAATATTTTGTGCGAAAGAGCTGTATTAAGACGTTACTATCACATAGTGTAAATACTGAGCAAGCAAAATTAAGGACACCGTTCTACTTTTTTAATTATCTGTTCCGGTGCGAAAATGTCTCATACGAGAGAACAACAACATGATAGTCTTGGCCAACACTCACTGGCCCGTACTAATTTGCTTGCCTTTTACCTTACGATAACTCCCCCCTCATGAGAAGATGAATTGACCTGGGAGAAAAGCAGAAAGCGAAACCCCAGTACCATTCTGCACTCGTTCTTTGANGACGGCTCACAGAGAACCCCTACATTCGCGCCAACTGGGCGATGGTGGCGGAAGTTCCATGAACAATCGTGGCCTCCTGTTGTCCAAAAAGCACTTACCAAGCTACAACCCACCAAGTCCTCAGACATCGGATTAGTTGGCTGCCTCTTGATTTCCCATTTGGATGAAGGAGTGAAGGGAGGATATAAATGTGCAAATCAGTGAAAGGGTGAAAAAGAGAATTCATGGAGTCTAAGCTGGCATGGGTAGTGAGTAGATGGATGAGTGCACTGTTTACGACACTCAGCCATATCACTCAGTGTCTCTAACCACCGGTTTCGACCATCCTGAGGTCCCCAGCCAGGAAGCCTAACAGGACCTATATCATCAAGTCTCCTGTTTAGGGTTTTCATATCTTCGTGCCAGGTCTTATTTTGACCACCACTGGCCTTTTCCAACCACGCGCTGCCTCGGCAAACATCGTGCGCCGTGGCAACCTATTTGGTGACATGCGCAGCACATGTTCCAACCAACGTAATCTATTAAGGTCGATCACGTCCTCCAGCGGACGACAGCGATTACTAAAAACTCCGCGTCAAACCTCAGCATTGATTGTTTCGTGCCCCCACCAGATTCGTGCAATGGGACGTAGACAGCGATGTTCGAACACTGGCAATCTATTTTCATCCTGTTTCCGTAATTGCCAAGTCTCTGCATCGTAGAATAGGCCTGGGCGAACTGCCGCGTATATTCGACGCTTTACAGATAGCCGGAAGTCGCGATGGTGTCACAGATGTTTCAGGCAAGCAGATTTCAATCGAGCCTTCTGTATGTCTGTCGACATCTCATCCGTGATACGTTCTACGGGTGATATGTAGCTGCTAAAGAAGCGAAATTTGTCCACTACCTCTATTATTTATCTAGTCGGAGTGAGACTGGGAGCCGGACCAAAGCAAACTTGCAGTAACACAGAACGCTTTGTAAGTGCAAAACGCATACCGAGCACGACTATGCTGGCACTCAACCCATCCAGAAAGCCTTGCAACTTACCTGGATCTTCACTTAGCGGTTACAAGGTCGTTTACATACTCCAGATCAGACAGACTGGCGCCTAGGAGCAAACCGATGTTAGTATCCACGCACGGCGACAGGGCTGTTTCTGAAATCATATTTATATCAAAGTGAAATATGAAAGGGGAGAGAGGGAAACCACCTTTTGTGATGAACTCGGGTGTAAATCTGCCGTAAGCTCGGAATCGGCTTTGACTGGTAACATAAGCAGATCGCAAAATTAAAATAAATTTCTCAGACACATCCTTGAGAGAGCCAACGCCAGAATATAGAGCAGTGAACTGAGTCGATAGTTGCTTGCAGATTGAAGAAGACGGAAATGGTGGATCGACGAAAGTAGCGCGGTGCTCTGAAATTTGTTGAAGGGTGAAAATGTAGTCTATTCGACCTCAATCAGGTCTAAAACCAGCCTGATTCTCAGGCGTACACTCTTTACGCGCTAAAGACCGTCGACGGAGTATGATGCCAACGAGAAGTTTAGAGACAAGGTTGATTAAGCTAATTTCCTTGTAGTTTTCACAGGAGGACCTGTCGCCTAGCTTGTAAATCGGTATGATCGCCGATTTACACCATTCAGTTGGAACCTGTTTTGTCTCCCACATCGAGTCCAGGAGTTTCGTTAACTCCAAAACCAAGGCCGAACCTGCATCCTTAAAAACCAATGTGGACAGCCCGTCTGTACCGGAAGCCTTAAACCTTTTGAGACAGTTTACTTCCCGAGCAACCGCCATTTCAGATGGAGGACTGCTGCCAACTGGCAGTAGTTGCCTAGTTGATGCAGGGGTCAATGGGGCCCAGCTGAACTGAGCCTCGAAATCTTCAGTCCATCGTTCAAGATGGTATTGCTGAATATGAATAAGTTTACCGTCAGACTCATTAATTGCATAACGCCTACTTTCTTTGGGCTCGCATTCCGATTAAGATGGAAAAGATTGTGACTATAAGGTTAGCGATAGCCTTTACCATCTCTCGTCACTTTCCTATCCACCAGTTCTCGCGGTCGTTCATCGGGCTCTTGATGAGCTCGCGCTGTCATGTGTGGCATTAGAAGGAATGGTTTTGAGAGGGTTCAGCAACTCGGTCAAGGTCGATGATATCCATCGGTTGTGTTTTGATCGCACGTCAGAATCCGCCATTGACTGACATTTGTATGGCTTCCTTGATTGACGTCCAGTGTTCATTGAGTACTTCGGCTGATGGTTGAGCTGAAAGGCAATCGGAATTCCCGCTGACGCTTTTGCTGCTATTGACCAAACGTATGAAGAATCAGTCTTTTTAACAGAACGCGGTCCGTGTCCACATGTGTTAACCAGTGAGAGTGGCAGATCCTTGGCAGCCGTAGCCGATGGCGATATGGTCGATTCGGGTCCATCGCTGTGAATAGGTGGATGGTTTCCATGTGAGATGGCGCCAATTTCTGTGGGAGAAGTTGGTACTCGATAGAAACTATCCGTG